ACAAATGAATGAATGTGTTAAACCAAAGAAAGCTTGGGGAAATTTTAACACGATTTTGAATATTGAGGACTGATTTATTAGTAATTTAAGTTGAGGAATGATCCGTAGTTATCCCAAAACTTAACATTTAAATTTTAATTTAATAATTATCAAAATGATGTTCACTTTATTCCAACGCGATTGTCCTTTTTTATATATATAAATATATCTCAAAATATTTATTGCATCAAAATTTTAAATAATGTATTTTTTAAAATATCCTAATTGATAAATTTTTTTTTATTTCATGTTTTTTATTGGTAAAAAATCAATATTTTTTATATTTTTTCATAATATATACAAATATTTTTAACATAATTTTTTTACAAAAATATTCATTCTTATAAATAATTTACTATACATCAAAATTTTAGGAGAAAAATATTCATTCTTTATGTATATTATTTTTTTATAATTATTTTAAACTAAAATTTTTAATTAAGTTAATATTTTTTATTTATCACTTTAATTTTAGATGAATTTTTTAAAAAATTAATATTGATTTCATGTAATTCAGGATTGAATTTGATAACTAATAATTTTAACAAAAATATATTTTAAAATGGAATTTTTTTAGTACATCAACAATTTATATCTAATGCCACATAAAAAAAATATATATATATCATTAACCTAATAAATCAAACACACTCTTCTTTTCCTTCAATCTAAATTAAGGTACCTTCGGTGACAAGTAATAAAAATTAGAGCTTTCCTAATTCATATACTACAACAGCTAATCTTAACCGCAAGAAGTTAACCAATGTGATGATTTTAAACACGTTAGCTACTCAACCAACCCTTGACCCTTGAACAGTGAAACAACATTATTATAATATGTAGGGAGTAAATTATGAAATAGTTTTTTTTTGGTTTTAAGAAACAAATTAATTAGTCTCTTTTATTTTAAAAACTAACTATATAATCTTTTTGTTTATATGTTTTTTATAAAATAGAAAAAATGGATATTATGAAAAAGTTGATAATAAAAAAGACATTTTCATATTATAATAAATTTATTTCATATTTTCCTAACTAGTTTCTGTATTTTGTCGTGATGTAAATTGACAAATGAATGAATGTGTTAAACCAAAGAAAGTTTGTGGAAAATTTAACTCGGTTTTGAATATTGAGGACTGATTTTTTAGTAGTTATTTAAGTTGAGCTCGATTTGTAGGTATCCCAAAAACTTAACATTTATAATTTAATTTAATAATTATCAAAATAATGTCCACTTTATTCCATAGAGATAGTCTCTTTTTATATTTTTATACATCTCAAAATATTTGTCTCATCGAAATTTTAAATAATTTATTTTTCTAAATACTCTAATTGTTAAAAAAATCAAATTTTTTTATTTCATCTTTTCTTTGATAAAAAATTAATATTCTTTATATTTTTTTTCATGATACATACAAATACCTTTAGTATAATTTTTTTTATCTGTTACATACTAAATATTTTTTCTTATAAGTACTTTACTATATATCAAAATTTTAGCAGTAAAATATTCATTTTTTACATATGTTATTTTTTCATAATTATTTTAAACTAAAAATTTTAATTAAGTTAATATTTTTTTATTTACCACCTACTATTAACTTCATGGAATCCAATATTGAATTTAATAACTAATAATTTTTTTAAAAAAATATTTTTAAGAAAGTATAAAAAAATATTAATGTAACATAATAATTAATAATTGTTTTAAATTGCGTCAATACCAAAGTACGATGAGAGAGAGAGAGAGAGAGGCGTGTAATAATTTAATTTAACAATAGCAATTTCGTTCGTATATAAAGCCCCTCGATCTCTGTGCATTCTTCCATTTCCATTGCCCAACAACCTTGTTTTGTTCTCTTTTTTCTCGACAACAAAAATAGAAGGAGACGAAAATTGAAAGCGGCACTCATTCCCTGAAAAGATGCAAGACCCAGTTGCAATCATAGTAGGAGCTGGCCCTTCTGGCTTAGCTACCGCTGCCTGCCTAAACCAGCATTCAATCCCTCACATCGTCCTCGAAAGAGAAGATTGTTTTGCTTCTCTGTGGAAAAAATACTCCTATGATCGTCTGCACCTTCACTTGAGAAAAGAGTTCTGCGAGCTACCTCACATGTCATTTCCTGAATCATTTCCAACTTATGTACCAAAAGATCAATTCATACAATACTTAGATAACTATGTTTCCTATTTCAAGATCAGTCCCCTATACCAAAGAAGTGTTGAGTTTGCCAGTTTCGATGAAGAAGCCGAGAAATGGAATGTTAAGGCTAGAAATGTGAGTTCTGGGGAGATTGAGGAATACTCTGCTAGATTTTTGGTGGTGGCCAGTGGAGAAACGAGCGATCCTTTCATACCAGAAGTTGAAGGATTGAACAGTTTCACTGGAGAGGTTCTGCACTCTACGAACTTCAAAAACGGAAAAACTTACAGTGACAAGAATGTATTGGTTGTTGGGTCTGGCAATTCTGGCATGGAAATTGCATTAGACCTGGCAAACCATGGTGCAAGAACATCAATCGTCATACGTAGCCCGGTATCAATCTTTCATTTGTTTATTTTTGGGTAGAAAATAATAATTAAACTAATACTCTGTATTTCTTATTTTTTGTAGAAAATGGTTGGATCAATAATTATATTAACTATCTAGCTAGCAGGTGTGATAAATGAATGAATTATTCATGTTTGAACCAATATTCATGCTTGCAGATTCACATTCTATCGAGGGAGATGGTATACTTGGGTTTGAATATGTTGAAGTATTTTTCATGTGGCTTAGTGGACAAACTCATGGTGCTGCTTAGCAAACTTGTCTATGGAGACTTAACCAAGTATGGGATAAACAGACCAACAGAGGGGCCTTTTTTCATGAAAGTTGCTTACGGAAAGTATCCAGTTTTCGATGTCGGCACCTTCAACAAAATCAAGTCAGGAGAGATCCAGGTATGTTTTATATGAATGAATTGGAGAAATTGAGTCCTTCAATGTACAAGAATGGCCCCTAGCTGTAGAAATTATCACGCAAGTTCGCTTCATCATGACACCAAGGGAATGGGTCTCATAAATATTTTATAATGGGTTCTATGTAATTTATGCAAGTTGGTTCGTGGTGAGTTAAAGTCCACGCAACAATTTTGCTGACGAGCTGGCTGGCTTTTTTTTTTTTTTTAATATGGGATGGGTTTAAATTATAAATCAGTCTTTAATTTTGAGAAATAAATTAATTATATAGTGTTTTTATTTATTTTTTTTTAAAAAATAAAAAATTAGTATATATTTATAATTTACTCTGTGGGTTGGTAGCTTATAACTTTCTTTTTTTAAAAAAAAAAAAAGCAACATGCTTCATTCCCCGTTAAGTTAGCTCTTGCCTGGTGAACCACGTAAGCTGTTATGAGTCATTAAATACGAGTTGCACATGCCGATTAAGAATGTTAAAAGACTTGCTGTCGTGTTCCACACCTCGTTCTGTTTGATGATTGTCAGTCATGAGATCTCAAATTATAGTTGTTGAAAACAGTTGGTTCCATGAATGCATGAAAATAAATATCATAATCATTCGCCCTCAAAGCCTCATCGTATTGTTCACCTAAATCTTAAGAGTTCATAATACGTATCGGTCACGTTCGACCACCTTAACTTGGAAATTACTTCATTTGTTCACAAAAGTTCTCTGCCGGTGTTCTATTACCAGAAAGTTCCATTCGGCTAATAATTGACTGTGTTTGCGCTGGCGTGCAAACCGACACATGATTATGATATTGTCTAAGTTTGGTTTTTGTGTGCTCATCAGGTCTTGCCGGCACTAGAAAGCATCAGAGGCAATGAGGTGGCATTTGAGAATGGCAAGTCATACCCCTTTGACACGATTCTTTTTTGTACTGGCTTCAAGAGATCAACTAATAAGTGGCTCAAGGCAAGTCATTTTATTAAACCTACAAAATTACCGCCACTATTAATGGATCAAATACTCTTGACCAACTATAATTGTAATTGTTTTGACCAGGGGGATGACTGCCTTTTGAACGAAGATGGGATTCCAAAACCAGGTTACCCTAACCATTGGAAGGGAAAGAACGGTTTATATTGTATTGGACTATCAAGGAGAGGTTTGTATGGAGCCAGTGCGGATGCACAGAATGCAGTCAACGATATCAAGGCACTGATGTAGTGTCATATATATCATGAAACATAATCCAACCCCTCGTGTGAGAAGGTATACGTGTGAGGTTACAAGCCTTCTATGGTTTGCATAATCAACTTTGTTGAAAAAGAAGATTTTGAAGGTCATATTTGTTGCTTGAGTAGCCTTGTACATATTACTTGTGTGCTTCTATTTTTCCAAGCAAAGCTATTTCCTATTAATTTACTATTTCCAGAGCAATGGAGATTTGAGACAGACTGGTTTTGTCAATCCACCATCCCCTGCTAGTAATGCAAACCTATAAAAACCAAGCCCAGCACTGACAATTTCCCAAACCTTCTCTTCCTAGTCCCGCATTGCCACCCCAAAAGGAAAAAAGAAAAAAATAAAATAAAATTTTGAGTGATGCGAATAGCCAACTGGATTTATTTATTCCGCATCAAATGGATTGATAAATAATTAAATTATACATTATTATTTCAAATCATTAGGCCAAATAATTTCAAGGCTGACTAGAGATCGTGGGCCCTACGGTATACAACTACGCTCTGCTCTGCCTAACTGATATAATGAACATGAAATTGGTTAAAATCTATCTGGGACCACTCAGCCAACCAAACAAAAATGAAGGAAAAATTGAATAGAAAGAGTCCATGATCGGGTAATTCCGCTCCAGAAAAAGCAGCTCGTGTGATGGCTTTGAAAATGAGCAGAAGCACGGCAATTTTCAATTTGGTGGCCGTGAGTTGAGGCTATAGCCATACTTTCCAACTGTTGAGTGTCACGATAAGCTCAGAATGACCTTCAACACTTGGTATTATGCCCAGAGGAGTCCATCGAAGCCAATTTCCAGATTTGAAACTGGGCTGTTGCCACAATCCTGATCTGCTGCTTGGTTGTCTTCCAACAAATCCACATATGGCTCCAGTAGATCAGAAGATCGTTCAGATGGGATTCCATAATCTTTGAGAATGTGGGATGAACAAGTGCTTGCAGCTTCCTTCTCCAGGACAACAAGGTAATTGTCTTCAAACTCAAAAACAAAATATCTGCTCTTGCATGCTGATTAAACCACAAAACCATGAGAACAGAAGTGAAAAAGGAACAAGGAACAGAAACAGAGAAGGCACAGTGCCACTTACAATCGACGAGGTGTGCTAGGTGATGAATGTTTTTTATTTGAGTTCCATTGAACTTCAAAACCTGCAAGTGTCTTAGTATGTGCAAATAAATTGGCAAGCAGGTGCAAATAAAAGTTGTTAGTGGGTATAGATAACTTGCCTGCTGATTGCTCATATCCTCGTATCCAAAGTTGACTTCATTTGCTAAGACCTGTCAAAGGAAAGAAAATGATCAAGGCAGTGATGTACCATGCCCACAGTATGCAAACAGTAAAATTTTTCAATAAAACTGAATCTTGGAAATGGTTGACAATCCTCCATTAGCAAAACGAAGATTTAATAAGTACAGAAAACTTGCCACTACAATTAAAGCACATGAGATAGAAGCATAGTGTCTGCAAAAGTTGCTGAAAGGATTTCAATTGATGCAAAGCATAAAGCTTACCTGTGATAGGATAACAATTTGCTCCCCTTTGAACCTTGCCAGAGAATAACGTGACTTTGCTAGCAGTTTCAACTGAGGGAAGACAAAACAATTCAAATTGAAAACCATAAAAGTGTATCAGTCACAATGCAGAAAGTGTTGAAGCAATCTGTCACAGGACTTACCCCTATTGAGTCTTCGCATTCCTCCCTGCGAAAAGGGGAACAAAATCTCTCACATTAGCATTATTACTAACAGCAAGAATACTATTATAAATGAATAGGTTAATTACATTACTGAGTGCCTGGAAGTATTACATACTCTATCAGTGGTTCTGAAAGGGGGTAAACACCAAACCAGCAATTATTAAATACGAAGGCTGACCTCCATCAACATGATATGGAACCTTGAAGCAAGAAGAAAAAAATCCAAATGTGTATTAATCTGATACAATCAACACATATATCATGTACAGAGCCAAGATTCTAATGGCATACCAAATGCACTCTTGGATTAAGAACTACTTGAACTTTCATGAATGATCCAGCTCTAATAATGCCAAGCTCTGCTACATCGCCTGCGAATCTGTATAAAAACATCATTACATGCATATGGAAAAGTATGAAGCCCAAAGAACATTGACTTCTTGGATATTCAAAGAAGAAAAGGCCCAAACAAGGTTATGAAGAGACTGGAAGAAAATTCAAAGCCTAACATAAAGAAAAAATGGTTGAACTAAAGCCCTTTACTTTTGACTGATAAGATAACGGAATGCAATACGCTCATTTGATCGAAATGGCACTGTTCCTTCACACCCTACATGAACATCATCAAAGCTAACAATCACGTCCCCCTGAAAAGAACAACTACAATCAAAATTCTCAACACAGATAAAAAATAGAGGTAGAAAGAAAAATCAATCTCAAGAAGAAATTGCTTATTCAAGCTTTTAGTCTTATTCACAAATCAAATTATGCCACTAGCCAATGCAAGAAAATTATAAGGATTACCAGTTCACACACAAGGACCAGATCATGTGCAAAATTAAAATTGCATGTCTAGAGTTAGTTCTTGGCGTGGCATAACTAGGAACCTTTTTTATGAAACACAGTAAATTGCTATTACATTTTCTTCTATTTTCAGTATTCCTTTATCCTTTTGCAGCTAGCATACTAAAAAAGTGCAGGATGGATATTTATTTATAGATTTGTTCGGCTAAAAATATCAAAGAAGCACAGTAACGATAATCCAAGGCGTCCTTCCTGATAACATGTTAGCGAGAACAGACTGGTAAAAGTAATCCAAGGCTTCCTTCCTGAACATGTTAGCGAGAATAGACTATGTCCAATTCAAGTATAGCAAGCTTTTGAAGCTACAAATGGTCACTGTACCTCCTTTATGACTCTATTTGCATCAGAGGTCGGTTCTACTCTTCGTACCAACACACCCTGCACAAACCAGATCTTATAAGGGAACTGCTTAGCAGACTCATGCTGGGATGTTGCAATGACGTAGAGGAATGGTAAAGAAAAATTTAAACAGATATAAAATTTTAGGGGCAGGGTGTTGTGTTGGAAGAAAAGAAGTTGCCAATCAAAATTATTTTACAAATGAATGCTTCACAGACTACGTGAAGAAAGCAAACAAAGGCTACATATGAATTGATTCTTCCATTTTCCATTTTTAAATGAGCATAGAAAAACTCTGCTTTCCATTTTTACATGAGCATAGAGTAGAACTTCAAGGTATCGCTTCCAGGATGCTATAAACCTAAACCATCTACAAAATGATGCCACTGTACACTAGTCAGATTTAATCACATGATGAATATGTAAAACTTGAAATTTGAAGAGAAAATTCGAAAGTTTACTTCATTTATAAGGTAAGTATGAATTAGTTTAGGTACCAAGCAGGTGCTAACCATTCACTAAAGCAAGAGGAACTACCAACAAAAAATGAAGACTACACATCACATAAAATATATGCAAAATCAGTAATCTGCTAAAATTTAGAACTTATCAAAAAATAAATAAATAAAAACTGTTCACTATGCCAAAAGTGTATAGTTTTAACCCAAAAATCGTCTAAAGTTGAAATTATATAATTCCCCTGCAAAAGCAATTTTGGTTTCACTCTTTCCAAAAACCCAAAAATATTGCTGAAAGTATACACACGAATCACTTTTTTTGCCAAAACGTCCCTAAGCTTTTAGCTCTCAATCCATGGGATTGGCCATAAACCAATGGAAACCAACAGTCCTATAAACCACAGCTGCATTTCACAATTCACATTTCCTCCTTGTTCCCCATGCTAACCACTTTCACCATTACTCCTTAATCTGCTCCAACAACCTCACATTAGCTACCGAATCAGGCAACCCAGCCCTTCCAAAACTACCTTGATCCACCCATTAGCAACCACCCATACTCAAAAACACTCTCCAGCATTCCGAATTCATTTTAGCAAACCACCAAAGTAATCTCACCCCACCTCAGAAAGTTACACTTGTGTTAACTTGAATTTACAAAAGCAAATCCCACCATTTCAAAAGGAAAAAAAAATAAAAAGAACAAACACTAAAAAAAGTTCAAAAAGAACATGAACAATGCCAGACAATCTCAAAGCAAATTTAACAAATATGTAATTGTAAAAGAAGCATACCTCATTAGACTGCACTTTTAAGCATGCACGTAATGCTGGATTCTCCAACTTTTGCAGCAACACACCAAGGGAAGGAAAGCCTAGAAGTCAATGTAAAAGGAGTTTTATTGGGACAATCCCAAATCAACTGCATGATGAAGATACATGCTAGGTTTGCATTACACAAATTCAATCAGGCGACAGTAAGTCAAAGAAAAGTAGAACAATGGTTAATCTAGAAACAGCAAGAAGTTATATGATAGATGCTACAGAATTCAAAAGGCATTCAGAACATTCTAAGGCACTAATATATATGTATATATACTCTCAACAACCTTCACAACAGGAACAAATGAAAACTAAGAGTGTCTATACCAGAGAATAGCCTGCAGGGACCTATTAAAGAACAAGAGTAAGATTGTAGTCATGCAAAACTAGCAAGTTAAAGGTGCAAGAAATCTTTACGACTTCTGCAGAAACTTGATAACTAGTAGTTTTATATGAGGTTCAAAATAAGAACATGAAGTTTTTAGAGAAGGTTGGTCCTTAAAGTTGGCACACATGCATTGCTTGTCAACATCAAATTCTGCACAATGAGTTTCAATGCCAGAACACTGCATAAACAGCACACAGAATAAACCATGAAAACACACGTAAAAAAGCTATCTCACCAGTGTATTTCCCATTCCTATCATAGTCATTTAGAAAATGAGATACAACTGTTGTTGGAATCACGTATCCAATATTCTCGACCTCTTCAGATCTGTATACCTAAAAGAAATGTCTCAGGAAAATGTCGCAGGGAAAGAGATGCTGCAAATAGGAGTAGGGGTTGTTTTGCTAAATCAACAGAAAAACATGTGGAGAACTTGCTGTTGTTAAAAAAAAGACAATTATAAACATGATGTAGGATCAAGAAGAAACTGCTACGGGAACACTCATGCTTTATATCTAGTCATTTGGACAAATAATTCTAGACAAAATGAAAACAGGCGCATAACATCATGCCAGAGAACCTACCTGAAATGCTACTCCAATACACTCCCCCTGCTCATTGAATGCAGGACCACCACTGTTACCTATAATTAGCTAGTGTAAGCAGTAGCTATCACAGAGATGGACTAAAGCCGTGAAATAAATAAAAGATGCAGACAAACACACATGCATGCATACACAGATTTGTAGTAGTGAAGCACCAAAATATATGCAATCTTCAAAATGCAAATACATAACCTGGAGAAGTTTTAACACAGAACGGATAAACAAGTAGATAAGTATATGCATATATGCATACTAACCAGGATTTATTGCTGCATCAATTTGAATACCCAACAAATCAGACGATCCATGCGCATACGATGTAACCTGATGATAATAAATTTGATAGCATGATACAGAAAATTCATTTAAACATGTTGGTCAAGGAAGAACATCAAACAGACAATCATTGACATTTCAGAAATAGATTAACAATCATATGCTTTTAGGGATGGGATAATCAAACCTCTATACGAGACACAACCCCCTTTGTCACTGAAATGGTGTCTCCTCCAAGGGGATATCCTACAACCGTCACTGCATCCTGCCCATTTAAAATGCAGCAGAAAATGATTCTCAAAAAGAGAAGTACATAGCACTGTAAAAAAGGATCTGAAACTTATAAATTAGGATTAGGGCATCAGCCTGCATTTTCATAGGAAAATGACAGGACCTCAGAGTACACAGTAAATTAAATAAAGCACAACTATCACTCCAAAGAATTGCCATGATGAACCCCAAAGATTTATTCTCATGAGCCCAAAGACATTTGATGCAGGTTTAAATAGCACCCAAGTTATAGTTTCTGCAATCATTTAACGAGTGATAATTAAAGGCTGTTGCAAATGCCAGGCCAAAAAAGTCTGTAGACCTAAAAAAACACGAGGAGCAGGGGAGGGCACTATGACCCTAAGTGAAAGGGTTATTTTACCTGAAGACGTGGTAAGAGTCCAAAATCAAGTGGTTCTGCTCCTTCCCAGAATTTCTCACTTTCTACTGAAAGCAAAGCTATATCGCAATCAACTCCTCTGGCTAGTACCTGTGGATAAAATCACTGTGAGGAAAGTAAGTTGCAACATCCTAGAGAGTCTCATAAACAAGATCAATTTATGCAGTCTGCAATTGCATTGGTTCTTTCCTTTGTTTAGTAGTGAAAACTATGTCAACAGATGCATGAGAACTTCAAGAAAGTAATGACAGGATGAAATCCAAGGACGGCAGATGCAACTGCTAATGAGAAAGTACTGGGAGTCATATCAGACACCAATATATCTGCATCCTGCTTCATATAAAACAGGCTTTTTTGTTTTGCCAAAAAGAATAACTTCAAACACATCCACTGAAACTCATTAATAATGGGATTTTCATCCAATTTTCTGAAGATCCTATGTACACACTCTCAATGTACATCTAAAACATTCTTTTTCTTCCATTTATGGTTTGGGACTTCAAATAAAATGGAGAATGAGAAAAAAGTATAGATAATGAGCTATAAAGATCATTAAAATGTCTTGCAACTTCCAAAGGGTGCAGAAGTACCTTAGCCACATATTTGGTATCATCTCCTCTTTTCTTCAGCTTGACCTGCAATCAGTGAAAAGGAATTTTAAAAAGTTAATTTGACAATCTTTACCTACATATCACGTCTCAAATCGAAGAATATGCAAATTTTTCGTTTGATTGTATTGAGCAAGCCTCTACCAATGGCAAGGTGCTTTTATGGAATATTCCAGATATCTCCCATGTCCAGGCCCTATGCATCATGCACTTTCTAGCATGTCCATTTAATGGCAAACCAAGGTCCTCAATGGATGCCATGCAGAGTTCTCAAAGGCTGTTGATCTGTGGCTTAGTACTTTTGAGTTACTACTGTTTAGTCTCTAGACTTTGCTACCTAGATGTTCTAATCTTTTGCAGTCTTATATTGTTTTAATCACTTATGGTAAAAGGAAATTGATAAAATCCAAACTAAGATAGAAAGTTTAGGCATGACATAACCTGTGTATAATATTCAACACAATGAGCATTTGTCAAAAGTTTTCCATTGCCGATCATAAAAGCACTGTGTAAGAAACATGTAAAGACATGAAGAAATCAGTTCGTGAGACAAAGTCACTTGAATAAATAACATGTACAGTAAAACAGAAATGAAATAACAATCAGACATGCATCTTAACAGAGCCAGCAGTGACCAAGAATTTCTTATCACCCTAAAAGAAATTTATGGAGGACCTAACAGATAAATAATTCAGAGGACTCACCTTCCTGTGCTTGTGTATTGCCTTTGTTTTTGCCAAGGAAGGGAATAATCAGGCTCCGTATGGGTGCAGTAAACCTAGACAAATGAAACAAAAAGGACGTTATACTATCAAAGTGCAAGCACTTGCATGAGAAAATAAGTCGATTCTGCAAATCTGTAACAGCTTAATAATCAGATTATCATTTCTTCCCATTCCATTATCATTAATCAGATTGGTAGAACCTAAAATTGAAAGGCAAACAAGAAAATGAGAAAGAACTATTACCTTGACAACAGCATCTAAAAAAGCTGCATCTTTAAGATTCTGTGGCTCAACCTGAATTAAGAGGCGAATATAAACTTGTCTAAATTACTAAAGCAACACATATGAAAAAGGAGGGCCCGGAATGAAACCTGTTGTTCCTTCATATCAAGCTTAAACTCTTTCTTATCTTTTCTTTGCGCGCCAAACGACTTAAAAGCCATTGATTGAGCTTTCCCTGCATTCCTTTTACCACTGGTTCCATCATCATCATCATGCAAATAGGACCTCTCATCTTTCAGTTTCCCCGGAGACTTCTTCTGCGAACCACCTTCTTTCTAAACACAAAAAAACCAAGATTTTCTAAACACAAACAAACCAAGATTTCTACCCATTAATCGGCTAAACAAGATGGTTCTGAACTTTAAAAAAAAAATCAATTCCAGCTGCGTTAAAGCATAGATGAGTTCTTATTTACAACCTAGAGAGCTGAATTTGTTCAACTAATTAGAATTCCTAGGGTTTTTTAACAAAACGACGGTCGATTATAATTCTAATCCTGTACTGAATGTGCATTTATTTATTTGCAAATACGAGAAATAAAAAAAACAAAAAAGGGGAGAGAGAGATTAGGGCTTTACATGCTCCCTATCTCGATTAGAAGAAGGGCGTCTCCTGTTATTGACGACGGCTTTACAAGTGAGGGAAGCAATGGAATGATGCGGCGTGGCAAGATATCGTTGGGGAGAAACACAGCAACGGAATTTAACGGAGGAGGTGAGAACAGAGAAGCAGCAGTTGGCGACTGCCATGGCCATGGTTAAACGGTGTAGCTGGTGAGTGAGTGAATCTCTTTCAGCTCAGTCTTCACTCACTCCACACTCGGTAAGTAAGTTTTCTTATCTCCGTCGGTCTATCTGTCTATCTGCTTAGCTAGAGAAAATTGGATTGGATTAGGTCACTGGTTTTGGCGCCTTGATGTTTAACCAATGGGATTGCATTTTTGACGGTTGAGGTAAAGTAAACTGTCTACAAGGTTAAGCGCTGTCGTTTAGTAAGGCTCCCGATGCGAGCTGCTCTTCAATCTAGTAGCCCACGTCATTTGTTTCGGGTTGAAAATTACAGTGCAAACCTCAAAAATAATATTCGATTATCCGAGCTGTTTCAGTGTTGTCAATGAACAATTTTTTATATTGATTTTATTATTAAACTTTCAAAATTCTCAATTAAAATTTTCATTTATGTTTAAAAAAAATTTGTCTATATTTTTATCTAAATTATTCTTCTTCTTCTTTTTTTTTTTTTTGTAAGAAGCTTAAAAAAAAAAGTGGTTCTAACAAAAGTTTTTAATTAAGAAACTAAAATAGTTTTGTGATAAATTGAAACAAAAATTATTTGAGTGTAAAATTAATACAAACTCTATAATTTAATGGTATCTTTGATATCTGTACAAAAATATTTCGTATTTTCTTCATGTTTGACTCGCATATGAAAACATGCTCAATGTAAAAATATTTTATCGCTATAGAGGAAATAAGCTCACGGAAATAACTTATCATTCTTAAAAAATGAACATATTTTACAAGACGTCTTTTATATTTGAACACTTGCTTTTCCAAAGAAACATATATACTTTCATTTATCTTCTTGTTTGTATCAATTTAGTAAATAAGTTTCAATCAAATATTTCATATAATTTATAATAAATTCATCATATTTCGATAAATCCATACGATTGAACTCGATTGTAAACAAGCTTCAACTTGTGTTGTTAAATCTCCTAGCGGTGAAAATCAATGGCCATGTAACATTAATTTTCAATGAAAAAGAGCACATCTCTTAGTTTTTTCTTTTTCTTTTTCTTTTTTTAAACCCCTAATGAAAATGTTGAAACTAATCCAAAAATAAAAATAAAAAATCACCCATCAAACTTTTAAACAGTGTTTAAAAAAATAAAATTTTAAATGTTTAGAAACTAAAGAAATTGAAAATATTTTGCCATTGCACTCATGGCTCATCCAATGAAATATTTGAAAATATTTTGCCATTAAAATTTTAGAACGTTTTCAAGAAATAAGAACATATATTTGAATATCTATATGCATATTAAATCTTAAGTTTTTTTTTTTGATAAATTTTAAGTGTTAATCTATTTTTCTAGAGCTTGTAGAATGTATCTCGATTCCGATGCTCTCAACCCATCACATAGAATACACGGTGGTTTTTAGTTGATGATATTAAGATTAATAACAAATTAATATTTGATTAAAAATCAAATTAATCATACAAGTACATATTACTATTAAATACAAACTTTTCTACTAATTAATTTTCTATTTTAAAATCTACTCAATAAAAACTTAGAAAAAATAGCTATATACATAAACCAAGAGCGTTGACGGTACAATATCCTGAAATACTATCCAAAAACTTGAACCTAAAGACAAATGCAGACCTGAACTTTAACCTGGCAACCCAATAACCTGTGGATTCAATTAACCTAGATTTGTGTTTGGTTTTCAGGCTAAATTGAACCTAATAGTATACATATGCAATCCTTCAACATAAAAATTTAAAATTCACATTTCAAACTCAAATAACATTCAAATTCAAATACAAATTTATAAAAAAAAAAAAAAAAAATCTTGTCCTTATAAATTTAGAAACAGAAAACAATGGTAATGTTAACATATTTTTAAAATATAGATGTCAAATAACTGTAACTTGGTATCTTGAATACGTTAAGCTTTTTTAGTCTCTTGATTAATAAAAAGTTCATGTCCTATCAATATCACAAGTCATTTTTTTTCATATTTGTAATTAATTTATTGAATTTGAATTCACTGTACGCTATTTTTATATAACTAATGGAATAACATATGATTGTATAACTAATGACTTAACAAATAACTAATATTTATTTATGACAGTATATGAATTAGAGCACAAATTCTATGCAATATTCAAGTGGTCTAATCTTTATAATTAGTTATCATATTTAACGTACTTTATAAAACACTATCAAGATGATTAAAAACAACGATGGTTTTTTTGTGAGGGTCTAAAAAACTGTAGCAAATAAGAAATTTTTGCAACGGTTTTAATAAAACCATAGCAAACCGAGATTTGAAAAACAAGATTAGCGACGGTTTAGTTGAATAGATCGCTAAATCATATTTTAATTTGGAAATTAGTGATGGTTTAACTAAACTATCGTCTCTGATTTCTAAATTAAAAGGGAATTTAGTGACGGTTTAACTAAACCGTTACTAAAATTTCTTACCTTATGACGAGGATTAGCGAAAGTCCACCCAAACCGTCGCTAAATCCTTTGAAATAAAAAAAAATGTTATTTATTTGCGATGGTTTTTTGGAAAAAAGTCGTCACCAATAGAGAGAAATTAGCGACGGTTGAGTAAAATCGTCGTTGATTTTGGACCATTGCGGAGAAAGCTATGATTTGAATTTTTCAATTAGCAACGATTTAAAAACTATCGCTAAAACTAAAATCCCTAAAAACTTATTACGCCTGTTTTTTCTCCAATTTCTCTCCCTCTCGCCTCACTTTTCTCCCCATTTTTTCCCCCCAATCAGCAGCTTGAACTCTTACCCTCTCCTCCTCCCTTTTCTCTTCTTTTCTTCTTCCCCTCCACCTATTCCCTTTTTCTCTTCCCTTTTTCTTTTTCTTTCTTTCCTTTCCGCCTCCTCCCTTCAGCCCTCTTCTCCGTGGCAGACACCTCCTCCAAGGTGACAATAGCTCCTCCATGGCGATGACTTACTCTTGCTTCTAGCTTGGCAAGCATCTCCGCTTAATTTTGGTGTAATTTTTTTAAAATTTTTTTTGAATAATTTAATTTTTTGTTAATTGTTAATTGTTGTTGGTGTTAATTATTGATTAGTTAGCCGTTAGTAAGTTTAATTGTTTATTATTGTTGTTGTTAATTAATTTAATTTATTGTTTAAACAATTTTTAAAGTGTTTGGTTGATAAAATATGTATTAAATAATTTTGATTTATATAGTTTCTAATGAAATTAAGTTTATTTGTTGGTATTTAAAAATTTTAGTCGTTAATTATTGTTAAATAAGTGATTAGTTGGTTAATGTTATTTAGTTTAAATTATTTTGTTAATATAAATATTTGGTATTTGTTTATTAATTTTATTTTGTGCTTAAATACTTAATTAAGTGTTAGTTTCATGAATTATGTTTGAAATAAATTTTATTTAGTTGTTAATTGTTTATTAGTTAATTGTTAGTTAGTTTATTTAATTTTGTTGTCATAATTATTTGTTATTTGTTAATTAATTTAATATTTTGTTAAAATAATTATTTAAGTTTTACTATAATTAAGTGTGTGTTAAATAAATTTTATTTATATAGTTGTTAATGAAATAAAGTTTATTTTTTGGTATTTCCAAAATTTAATTGTTAATTGTTGTTAAATAAATGATTTATTGGTTAATTGTTAATTAGTTAAACTAATTAGTTTAATTTAATTTATTATTGTCAATATTTGTTCTTTGTTAATTAATTTAATTTTTTTGTTTACAAAATTATTTAAGTGTTAGTTTAATAAGTTACGTTTTAAATAAATTTTATTTAGTTATTATATAAATTAAGTGAAATTGTTGGTGTTTAAATAATTTAATTGTTCTTAAAAATTTGAATAGGTGTTAGTTTTATTAATAAATTATTTAATTGTTAAGTTAATGATTTATGTGTTAATTACATTATTTAACATTGTGGAAAAATAAAATATTTAATAGTTTGACAAAATTATTGTTTGTTAGTTTAATTGCATACTTAGGTGGTAATTAAAGTTTTTATTTGTTACATCAAGTAAAATAATTTATTGGAGATTAAAAATTTATAATATTGCTTAAAATAATTGATTAGGTAGTTAAATAAGAAAATAAGTTTAGAAATATATTTTTTGAATATTATATAAAATATACATAATTATGTTTTTCTTATTTAGTATTGTAGTCCTTATTTTACAAGAATACAAATCCAATATTGATGATCTACATTCTACAATACATCCTTCCTCGCCAAATTGGACCAACTAATTGGGCCAATTGGTGAACCGAATTTATGGCTTGTTAAAATTGCATTTGCATATTCTCAAACAAATTGGATAAATTAATGGGGACAATCTTAATAAGCCATTATGCTAGGAGCAACTTTTGCTCAACCTCTTAATGGTTTAGTTGCCTTAAAGACATATAAGTTGCAACTTAGGCTTGGGCCAATTAGTGCCCTTTTATAAGAATTGTTGTACTTCGAAATCCTTTTTTTCCTTCTATTTATTAATCTACATCTCTTCCCTTCTATCAATAATATTAATAACGAGTAGTGTTGTTCATTCAATACATGTATATGTCATATGGATTTCCTCGAGAAGGCTTAATATTTTGGATTTCATATAATGTGGTTGTTGGCTTTTGATGGAGTTGTGCTTGCTTTTTTATAAAAGTAGTTCTCTCTCTCTCTCTCTCTCTCACACACACACATGCATATATATATATATATATATATATATATATATATATATCCTACCAACCTTTATGTTTTTATAAAAACCAATAAACACGTTATTGTAACAGTAAGTAAACTCCTTATAAAACGATCATTCAAGAGATTGAGAGTTTGAATGTTAGTATTATATTTTAATTGTATACATAGGTTATAATGTCTCGTGGTAGGGGACGGTCCCGCATATAGTGCTCGTGTCACATGGTGAGGGTCATGGTTCGGACACTAACGATGGCGACGATCATGGTCGTGGGAGTAGTCCCGCTTCGTTCTCG